TAGACTACATGGTTAAGAAGCTTACTTAAATGTAAAATGTTTTTTCTCTATTTTGCAATAAAAGACGGCTTCCCTTATTGATCACATCTCAGGTAGATTGCATGTTTTCTTGCACGGCGGGATGTTGGACTCATGAAAAATAATCACGTAGTTTGTATTTGCCAAAACTGATTTACTGAAGTCAAATCATGGACGGAATTGGCGTTAGCGTGAGCGCCGCTGAAGTGGGAGCGACCAGCCACAGCAGAGGATTCTGCAGCCTTCCTTAAACAGTTATGTTCAGGATTTTCTGATTTACTTAATGTATACTGCGTGAGGGGGCAAGAAACGGGCCAAGGGAGGTCACGTACGGGACACATAAATTAAGCTCAGTATACGGGACGGTTGTCAACCCTAGCTTTGACAACAGCCCCTGCCTGTTCTGGCATCCTGGCGCACAGCAGCTGTCCACCATGTTGAAATAGTAAGGTTTGTAAGGTCTAAATAGTCTGGTTTTAAATTATTGTTGTACAACTGTCGATACAAATGCTCTAGCGCTCTCCTGATTGCCTGCCAAAATGGTGGCGTTTAGAGTGCGTGACGTTAACCTCCGGAGCTCTATGCATCTTCTTGGTCTACTTACTTCCTCTTCGTCGTTAGGTATCAATGTGTGCTCGGCAAGACCGTTTTGTGCTTGAGCGCCACCAAGTCGTATTTTACTGTAACTTAAGCAGCTCCAGGCACGTGAACAAAAGCGCCAATCTCATTGGTCGGCCAGTTTTTAATGCGGCACGTCAAACCAAAAAAACGAGCCCGAGGCGGTTTTTAAAAAATCGCACTTTTACGCCTCGCGTTTTGCGAGTCGGTGTGCACACTCACATTGTCGCCTTTTGTTTAGTCACGAGGCGTTAAACGTCAGCGATAATCGCGAGCGGTATTCATCCCGGTGTGAACAAGACTTTAGGGACCTTTTAGGCAAATATGAACATTTTTTAAAATATTTTTGGTTCATTATGAGACTGTGGTGGAACAGATTAGACTATTGAGGGCCACCATAGTCTAGATAATTAATGGGAAAATAAAAATTACAAAAATAAAAAATGATTACGAAAAATATAGCAGGAATACTGTATAGGTCCTAAATAAGGTGTCTAAAGATCACATCAGTCACATCAAGGTTGAAAGTGTTGGAGGAAAATAGTGTCATTATCCAGCATCAGAGTGGGCGGTAGATGGGTTGGTCAGTCTGATCCAGACTCTGTATAAATGAAAGGACAGTAAGAAGAGCAGAACAAACTCCTAACAAGAGGAGACTCAATCATGGCCTATGAGACAGAGGATCATGAGATTCAATACTGCTTTCCTGCCATCAACTCATCATGTATCAAGGGAAAACGCTCCAGTCATGAATACAATATCATTTATGTGTTTGTATCAGTGCTGTCAGCATGGACTGTGTTTCTGAACCTGCTGGTGATCATCTCCATCTCTCACTTCAAGAAGCTTCACACTCCAACCAACCTGATCATTCTCTCTCTGGCTGTGGCCGACATGCTTATTGGACTTGTGATGCCCATAGAGGCCACGAGGCTGATTGAGTTGTGTTGGTACTTTGGAGACACTTTCTCTGGACTCTATTCCGTATTTATTGCAATGCTTCTCTCAGCATCTCTTAGTAATTTAGTTTTAATTGCTGTTGATCGTTATGTGGCTGTTTGTCACCCTTTACTGTACCCACAGAAAATAACCATGACTAAAACATTAATAAGCATCTCTCTGAGCTGGGTTTGCTCCTCAACTTAGAAAATAGTGTCATTATCCAGCATCAGAGTGGGCGGTAGATGGGTTGGTCAGTCTGATCCAGACACTGTATAAATGAAAGTACAGTAAGTAGAGCAGAACAAAGTCCTAACAGGAGGAGACTCACTCATGGCCTATGAGACAGAGGATCATGAGATTCAATACTGCTTTCCTGCCATCAAATCATGTATCAAGGGAAAACACTCCAGTCATTAACACAATATCATGTATATGTTTGTGTCAGTGCTGTCAGCATGGACTGTGTTTCTGAACCTGCTGGTGATCATCTCCATCTCTCACTTCAAGAAGCTTCACACTCAAACCAACCTGATCATTCTCTCTCTGGCTGTGGCCGACATGCTTATTGGACTTGTGATGCCCATAGAGGCCACGAGGCTGATTGAGTTGTGTTGGTACTTTGGAGACACTTTCTCTGGACTCTATTCCGTATTTATTGCAATGCTTCTCTCAGCATCTCTTAGTAATTTAGTTTTAATTGCTGTTGATCGTTATGTGGCTGTTTGTCACCCTTTACTGTACCCACAGAAAATAACCATGACTAAAACATTAATAAGCATCTGTCTTCTGTCTGAGTGCTCCTCAACTTATAACACTGCCGTTGTAATTAATAATGGTTATTTTGACATTTCATGCTTCATGCACACGTGTTATGGAGAGTGTTCTGTTTTCGTGGGTTTTGCTTGGAGAGTCACTGATCTGTTCATGTCTTTTATTTTTCCTTGTATCCTGATCATATCTTTATATTTGAGGATTTTCTATGTTGTACTTCAGCAAGTGAAAGTTATAAACACCCTGATGAAGAGTGGCAAATGCGTAAATGAAGGTTCAGTGAGAAGGAAATCTGAGAGCAAAGCTGCCCTGACTGCCCTGACAATTGTGACAGTTTATCTGGTTTGTTGGATTCCGTACTATATCTGTTCCATATGTAGCATCTGTAGCATCTAGACACACCATTTTCCATTTGATTTAACAAATCAATTATTCATTAGATTAACAAACGTTCACAGACCCCTCACCCAATAAACATACTGGGTGCCAAGTTGTCTGTGAACAGGGCCCAGGACCCTGGTTACCATGGCAACCCTGACACCAGATACATTTACGACCTAATGGAATGCGAAGCAGGGAAAATCACTGCATGTTCCATCGCAAGAGGCACAAGGCACAATAGAAGTGGACTTTTCTACTAACTAATTCATAGGAAAACCTTTCTTTGAATGAACACACATATCCTTCAGGTCATGGTGTATATTATTGCTGTCTTGTATATTATCTGTTGTATTGTAGACTATTTTATTCATGCTTATGATAGAACCACTCATTCATGTAACCTTACATATACCGTGTTTGGTCTCTATTAATTCGTATTCAGATGATCTAATTGAGAGTGTATATTGCATGTTTATACCTATGCAACATATTACGGTTCTAAGAACTTTTAGTAATCTTTCGTCGACACCCAAGCGAATTACATACGCGAAATACCATGCTTAGAGACAAAGGGTCATAAAACCCTCCAGCAGTTGCAACCGCCCGCTTGGGATTTCAAGCCTTTCTCATTGGACAAGCCATCTTGAGAGG